AAGCGCGGGGGAGTGACCCTGTAACAGTAGGCGTAGGGCTCACCGAGGCACTCGCCGACAGTGACGGCTGTAGCGCAAGAGACATTAGTTTTACTGTGCGAATTGAAGAGGCCATTTGCAAGACTCGACATACCCCCTGAGCTTGAGCCTCTGCACCTCCTTGATCATGGCAGGGAGCAGGGTCTTGACGGTGGTCTCGTGGACGTCGTGAGCGAGAACAATGCGGTTGTTGGCGACACCGGCCTTGAAGGCGGCGATGGAGGCGGGCATGTCGAACTTCCAGTCGTTGGTGTCAAGGTCAGCGTGGATGACGCGGTAGCCGAGCTCCTTCATGACGGCGAGGGTCTTGGCGTTGTAGTCGAAGTAAGGAGGGCGCATGTAGGTGGGGTAGTAACCGATGAGACGACGGAGCTCGTTCTCAAAGTCGGTCATCTGCTTGCGGACGGCGGCATCGCTGAGCTGGGTGAGATAGGGGTGGTCCCAACTATGAAGAGAGTGTTAGCGAGACGCTGTCTCAGGAACAAGAAACAATGGACGGTAGGTCTCGAAGAAAGACCAGGGTGCGCCAAGACATACGTGTGAGAACCGATCTGGTGGCGGTTGGCGCGCATGCGCTTGAGGAGAGGAACATAGTTCTTGAGCTCGCCGAAGTTCTTTCCGTTGAGGAAGAAGGTGCCCTTCATGCCGGCGGCCTCGAGCTGGTTGACGGCGTTCTCGGTCCAGATGTGAGGGCCATCATCGAAGGTCAAGGCGATGGTGTTGGGAACGGTGCACTTGAAGATGGCGACGCCGTTGGGCAGGTTCTGCCTCTTCTCGATGGTGGCCAGGTCCTTGGTGATGGGCGAGGCGGTGGCACCGGCGACCAGGAGGCCGAGCACGCAGTTGCGGAGGTTGACAAACATTATGTTAGGTTGTGTTAAACGAATGTAGGTGTTGAGCGAGTGTGGGCAGTGCAAACGACTGTGAGGTGGAACGAAGGCTTCAGAAGTCTCGGCTGTCTTCCTTCAAAATTCGACGACGGATGGGGGCCATGATCCCTTTTACTTATAAACATTCAAGGCGCTGGCGAAAGCCCCGAAAAGAGGCACAGTAACCGGGGCCAAGAGACCAACAGCAGCCTAACAACACAAGGACCAGGTATCATGCGTCAGAACGTTTAGCGAGCGGAGAGAAAGAAAAAAAAACCACATCTGCAGCTCTGACCAGTGTTCCCTGTCTAGTGTGAATTGCTTCTACCCAGGGGGCACTCATCAGGCAGGTCAGGGGGTGAGGGTATGGCGTCGGAGTGGCTGCCTCGCCTCGATCGAATCGCGGCCACACGACAATCAGTGGGACACCACACGGACCGAGAGACAACCTTAACGAGCACCACATGAGCAAAATGTGGTGAGCTGAGGCGGGCCAGGGGTACTGGATGAGTGCTTGTGGTTGCCCACCCTGATGAGGTTAGCCCTCACGATCCCCTGATGCAGCTCGTATTACCGCCAGGGCCTAAAGCAGCCTAGTTCTTGGCATCCGTAATCTCACGGACACTTGGTCGAGGAGCCTGAGCGGCGCGATATGATGGTCACCTAGAACCTTTCCACACAGCGGGTTATAGGGCTCGGCGTGGCGGCTTCACCGGATAGGCCAGGCCCCCCCTTTTGCACCCATTTTTTGGCAGCGCTAGTGACCCCCAAAGTCGCTCTTGTGGTGGGTTGTTTGGCACCTGTGGTTGGCACTCAAGCCAGCTTCTTTCTCCACACGCCAGCGCACCCGTCGCGCCGCTTCATGTTCGGGCCTGGAGCTAGGCCGAGGGGCAATAGGGGCACACAAGAGCACGGCTATGGGGTCAGTCATGGGGTGATGGTGGGATGAAGCGGTTGTCTCCAGGGATTCGAGACGGCACATTTGTGCATGCTCAGCCACTTGGCGTCCATCATCGTGAACTCGTGAGCAGAAGGATCCCGAGACTATTCGCCCGTGCGTCATGCGCGTGGCAACTGATCCCTTTCGGTTCAAGTCCCGTCGGCGGCTGCGAGAAGGAGGAGGGTCAAGAGTAGGAAAATGAAGGGGTGAAAAAATTGCAGAATCACGATCAGGGTAGGAGGAAAGGCCTCGGCTGACCACCCATTCAGCAAGGCCGGTGTGGTTGCTGTGCCGCACGACTTGAGGTCGTTAACGCCCCTATTGGCGTTCGGGCGGGAAAAGCAGGGGGGCATTGTGGCGGAGGATCAATCTCATCTCCGACCTACATCTCTCTCTGCCGCCCTCTGCCATGGCATGAGGCAGACAAATCAGATCTCTGTGCATGCATGATGTGCTGTGCTGTGCTGAGCTACCACTCTTTCTCCAAGACCAAGATCGAGCGAGCCGTTCCGACGGAGGATGTGGCATTCAAACGTTGTCTTTCAACCGGGATGGGGTTTCTTTGTCCATCGTCTCATCAGGCCATCGCCCCCCCTTTCCCCGTTCCCCTGATTCCCCGTCAGGTCCCTCTCGTGCAAGGTACTTTTGCCTTTAAGCATATTAAGCATGAGTCAAATGGCGCCAGCACGGCCCCCGACGACTCCTCAGTGGTGACTTGGTGGTGAAGCAACAGTGATTGAGACATTTCCTGATGCCCCCTCCCCTCCTCCTTGTCCTCAGAGCGCTCAATAGTTACCGGCTGGCCAAGAGTCTCTTCTACGGTATCGGCCGCGCTTCTTCTTTGAATGCCAAGCAGGCAAGGGCAAGAAAGCACTTCAGGTGGTGACTGACAGGGCATGGTAAAGCTGGGACGATTGGCTCCGGGCCTCGCTTGTTTGCGAGACACAGGCCTCGCGATGCAACACGCCACGGCGCAACATGCAGCCTTATAGGTGGGTGGTCACTGGCTAGCCCGGCTGGTCAGTAAAGGAGATGGATGCCCTGTCACACGAGAGCCTAGCAGCCGCTTGACACCACCACCACCACCACCGTCATCGCATCTCTTTTTTTTTTTTTTTTTGGCCTGCTCCGCCGCCCAGATCCCAGAAGGTTAACCTTAATGCCCGAAACACCCCTGTTTGGCCGTGTTATTGGAGGAACAAAGAGTCTTGCCTCTCGCGGCGCGTTGATCACATTTCAAGTCCGGTCTCAACGTCCCGACATCCCGCGCCCTGGAGCACAGGGTCCATAGAGCCCGGGAACAAGAGGAACCAGGCCCCTGGAACAGGCTATGTGCGGTGAATGGTACCTACATACTGCCCCTGCATGACCGACAAATCCCGTCGGAAAACTCGTCTCAATGTCAGTCGGCAGTTTCTTGGGTCGCAGCGCCTGCAATCCGTCCCTTCATGCATCTCTTGCCGCTTTCCGTCACCGAGCCTTCTGCCAAGTTCTTGGCTCTCCTCGCATGCCAAGCGCTTCCGACACCCGCCCGAAGCCAGTGACTCCGGAAATAGAGGTCCTCCCACCCTCGTCCATCCCCCCTTCGGCCCTGCGGCTCACGCATGATCACTGCCCACAACGATGAGTAATACCGGGCCTCCTCGCAGTTGAGGTATTCGGCCCTCTGGGGCCTCGCACCTTACTTGGCAAAGCACGCCGCCCTCACGCGCCGCGACCGATGCAACCTCGGGAAGGACGGCGGGGTTCGTATCTGTGCGCCGAGGCGTGGGAGCCGGAGCGCGCATGTGCTCTCAGCTGCCCGACGTGGGCTGCTGGAGCAGGACGCGACGTCGATGCCCCAATACCTGGCTTATAGCAGTACAGTCGCCCGGTTGGCGTGCAGGGCATTAGCACGGTGCCAAGACCCATGATACGATGGTCAGCCCGCAGCTTGTGCTTGGTGCTTGTCATCGGACGTTGAGAAGGACGACGACATGGAGCGACGGAGCGTCAATGCCTCGATTCTCGGTCGATGCGGTCTCGATCGGCGGGACTGCTACTAGCTTGACAAATATTGGCTGACTCTGCATGCAAAGTGTTGCAATATGTCTGTCCTGCTGCCATCTTGGAGACCCAGGTATCGTATGGATCCACGTATAGCTTGATTGACGTGGGACAATTCGCGGACTGCCGTACTGTCAAGGCCAAGACCATGACGGAGCGGTTTGTGGGCCTTACTTCCAGGAATTTGACAAGACGATAAGAGGCAGTTGAGCACTAGGTATCTTGGCGATGTGTCGAAGTAGAGAGTTTATTGGCCGTGGCCACGTCAAATGCAGGAGGCCATAAACGGAACGACATTTTGTTGTAACTCGTTGTCTATATCACTATGAGGTATTGCGAAGGATGATGAACACTCGCCTGATGTGCCCATTGGTGTTTCTTTTGGGACGGTAGAAGATCGATTTTCCCGCTCAACAACCTCTGGAACCAGTTGGTTTGGTGACTGCGGACGCTGGCCCAAATTGAAAAGTACGAACAAGTCAGATTTAAAGTTGGGAGTCTACGGAGTAATGAACGTAGCAAGAGCGAAACCACAAATGGTCACGTAGAATAACTGTGCTCCGTCCTTTCGGTGTGTAATCATCACTGGCTGAGCTGTGAACGAAATCTTGCGGCAGGGCGAAAAGCGGTTAAATAGATCTTTCGCCAACACTCGCCGCTAACTGCTGGAAGGGTTGACGGCAACAAAAAGAACCAGCGTCGTCATAAGTTCACAGGATCCGAATTTCATTTCATAAGGTCAGACACCCGGTTTTCAGCTATGAACAGTCGCCGTGCTTCCGTTGTTCGAAAGCTAACTTCTATAGTGGAACCCGATGTCCGTCAAGGCAAGCAAATGCCGTGCAAATCAGATACAGAAAGGTAATCAGAGTTTGACATGCTCATCTTCAGCATCCACACCGGCCTGCTTGGCCTCGGCGTCCTGAATCCTACGCTCCAAATCGTGAGAAGTCGCCTGCGAGGGGTCCATCCTGGGCACAAATAGAGGTGCCTCAGTGAAGAGGTACCTCATCTCCTCCAGCGGGCGCTTGGCCGTCTCGGGCAGGAATGCCCAGAAGAAGATAGCGTTGGTGAAGTTGCACACCTGCGAAATTCAGTTAGCATCGAAGCCAACGCATGTGGCACAGAGAGAGAACTCACGATGAACAGAATGTACCACCTCCAGCCAATGCCATCCTTGTCGTCGAGAGCAACACTCGTGGTCTGGCCGATCATGGTGTTGAAGGCGAAGCTGGTCATGGTGGCGATTGAAACGCCTTTGGAACGTGTCTTGGTGTCGAAGATCTCGGCGGGGATAATCCATGACAGAGGACCGCACGTGGCGCTGAACGAGAAGTTGTACAGCCAGGTCATAGCAATGAAGCCCCATGAGGCACCAATGTTGCTCGAGGCACCATCCAGGGGAGGGTACTTGGCCAGCAGAATCGTGGCAATGATGAAGCAGACGGCGTTCAGCAGGTTGCCACCAATGAGCGGGAACCGCCGACCCGTCTTATCGATGAACAGAATCGTGAGGAACTGAGCAAACAAGGCCTGATAGGGTCTCAATTAGTTTTTCTTTCATGACGGCACGCCACACAAGGCAGGCAGCGGAGCACTTACAATGCAGGAGGAGATCGCCTGGTACTTGAGGGCATCGTCACCCGCAATACCAATCTTCTCGTAAATAGCGAGGGAGTAGTACTGAATGGCCGAGACACCTGTCATCTGGACACTGGCCTGCAGGGCGCAAGCGAGAAAGAGGCGACGGAAGCACGAGCGGTCAGTGAACAGCTCGGCGTACGACTTGGCCGAACCCTCCCTTTCGATGGTGATCGTATCCTCGATCTGAGAAAATTCGGCAACAACCCAAGCGTCGTTGACATCACCGTGCGCGTGAAGCTTGGCCAGAGTCTGAAGGCCCTCCTCCGTGCGGCCATTTTGAATCAGCCAGCGAGGCGACTCAGGGAACAGCAGGATCAGCAGGGCCAGGATGCCAGCAGGGACATTCTGAATACCAAGACTGACGCGCCACTGGTTGTTGTCGTCGGCCGCAAATCCGATATAGGAGCCTGGGAAAACACTGTTAGCCTTGCTGATAGTGTGCTCGACTCGGCGCGTCGGCAAGGGGACAACAAGACCTCAGCTGTGCAGCTGAACTCGCGAAAGGTAGCCACAGCCGTCAGTCCCAGCGATCCAAGGTGTTAGCACGTACCGTATGAAATCCAAGCTGCCGCAAGTGCACCAATGCCCAACATGAATTGTTGGAGAGCCGTGACACGGCCACGAATGTCGGGGTGGCAAAGTTCGCCCTACAAGGTCAAGTCAGCATAATTCGGAAGCTATGTTGCTCCGCATATGGCACGCCGGACTCACCTGGTAAACTGGAATGATCATGCACAAAACTCCGACACCAACACCAGCAAGCGTACGACCGGCCATGAGAAAGGCAATGTTCTTGCCGATGGTCTGGAGGGTTCCGCCGAGGAGAAAGAAGGCAGCACCGATCAGGATCGTGAGACGTCGGCCAAAGCGATCGCCAGCCCAACCGGCAATACCAGCACCGCAGAACGCTCCACCCGTGAAAACACTAACAACGGCGCCGCTGTGATTGTATTAGAACGGCACGGAGAGAGCTCGTCTGGGCGAAACCGATTCTGTTGACTTACATTTCGGCCGGATCTTCGCCAAACTTGGACTTGAAGGATGGCGATCCAATAACCTGGGCGATGACACCAAGATCATAACCGAACGTCAGGGAGCCGAGCGACGCGAAGACGCTGACGAGAAATTGGTACCATTTCGGAGGGAGAGCCATGGTGACGACGATGATAATTGGTGCGATGCGCGCGCGAGACAAGGCAATAGCATCTCTGGGCAAACCTATTCAAACTGAAGCGCGTCCTCTTGGGCTATATATTCGGCACGTCTCCCCTCGTTCCCCAGAGAGCCGAGTCCCGAGAATCGCCTGACGAGGACTCGGCCGTCTTTTGCTGTGTCGCACTACGCCCGGGGTAGTTGGCCCCGGAACATGATGACATTGTCCAATAAGAGCCCTTTTTCTGTGCGGGGGACCCCAGATGTAGATAGCGCATCCGGAGAAAGTAACGGCAATTGGACAAGGATGAGAGCCGACACTCGAGGCGGTTTGCGTCAAGCTTCTGGGGCTCCAGATGCGCACCACTCAGCGGCGAGGACGACCGCGTCGAAGCTTTGACATTCCAACAGCCTGACCAAGCATCATTGGCTTGAGCTGTAGTGTGGCTTGCCCGGGACTTGGGGGATGCGGGTGGATGGACGGGGAAATTGAAGCCGCATGACTTCATACGACTTGTTGGTTGATGACCTTGTGCAATGAGGCGTCACCTAGACGCTATTGGACTGCAGCGTTCGATATGCGCTCCTGTCGGGACGCAGCTGGATAGCTTGTCGCATGTTTCACGGCCTTCCAGCCATCTCGTTGTATGGCTAAGCGATGCGCGTTCCGACCTGATTCGCGCCGCCGTCGCCAAGTCAGGTTGATCACCAGGACAACTTCCACATCAGTCAGCCGAACAGGCATAACCACGTGTGCCTAACCATGGTGCCGGAATCCGTCTGAGCTGTCAATCAATTCATCGCCGGCTCTGGCAGAGAAGTTGATCTTTATGGGGGGGCGGGTAAATCTAGGCAGCTTGAGCGAGGGCCACCTTGGCGCCACGAGCCGCACTGGCTCGTGCCGAAGACGCGCTTCAACGCTTGAATATGGGGTCAAGAGGGGGACGGCCGAGGTAATGTGTATGGTGACCAGCTGGTAGTGTCCACGCCTAACGGGTTTTCTCGATTCCTGTTCTAGACAGCTGTATGTACCGTGTTGGTATTGGCATCTGACGGACCTTTGTTGCATGGACAATCTTCGTCCATGTTTGTCCACTCTCATTCATATCATCTGCCTTCTCTGACAGCGACCCCATGTTGCACAGGCCATGACTCATGGCATGAACAGAACGGCAAGAGTGTATAGCAGCACATGCTTGCCTATCTTTAGGTCAGATGAAACATAATAACATATTTTCACAGACTGGTACTCGTCCGGCACGCTGAGAATTCTCGGGTGCGGTTCCTGCCACCCCGCCAAAATAGGGGGAAAAAAAAAAACACCCCCGGGGGAAAGAATAAGCCCTCAAATATTTTTTTTTTGCCCTTTCTTTTTAACTCTTGCAAAAAAGGGGGGAATTTCCCCCCCCCCCCCCCCCCCCCCCGGGGGGGGGGGGAAAAAAGAACCCCCCTCGTCTGGGGAGGGGGGGGGGTGGTTTGCCACCCTCCCCGACGGGAGGTTTTTGTTTTG